CGAAACGTTTCTACATTTTTTTGTTGATTTGCTTTGTTTTGTTTTTTTGAATGTCCAGAGGACCAGATTTAACTTTTTTAGATTTTTCTACCTGGATTATTGAGCATGCATCAGGATGTGTCAGGAATGTTCTGACCTACATTATTTAAATTGTAAAGAGAGTGGGTCATAAGACTAAGCCTTGTGGTACACCATTATTGACAGTTAAATAACTGGAAGAAGTACCATTATGTTAATTCAGTTCAATTCAATTCAGTTTATTTATATAGTGCCAAGTCACAACAGAAGTCGTCTCTGGGCACTGAACAGAAACATTCATATATATAATAAGTCAACAGAAACATTCATATTAAAAATAATAATTTAATATTGCTTTTGGCCTAGTATAGGTATGGTATATTATTATATTCGGCCTGGTATAGGTTATATTTACTCCCAGTTGCCTTGGAATTTTCCTGGTGCGTTCACCGTCAACTCGGGAATAGGAGTTCCCTTCTCCATGTGGAAAATTACAGCTTGAAGGCTCCTTCAACGCCCCTTCAATCCAAATAGACAGACTCCATAAAGTTAGCAAGAACAGTAACTTTAAACAGCCACTCAAGCAGTTTTTAAACCAATACTTGTGATTTATTTGCCACTATACGAACGTTTTGAGAAGATTTTACTTAGTTTTGTGAATCGGTCCTGAATGAATCGGTCATGACAGACACGGATCTGAGGACCCTGAAAGCGGCGCTGCAGTTTCACGCTGTTCTAGCGGTGGACACACCCCCCTGAGTGACTCCGTGGCGTGAAAAGACAGGACGAAGCTGTTGCGACTAGTTTAACTCGAACACCGAGGTAAGTTAGTCGTCTTGATTCAAACACAAAACTCCAACTATGTTTGACAACTAATCAGGAACTTGTCGGTTTTCTTGACGACTTGTGGGCAGAAAGAGCATCGCTAGCTAGCAGCTACTCACAGTTAGCCATTGTTTTAATGAGTATCTGTGAATCTCTAGCCAGGGGGTGGAAAGTTATCTTAGGGAATGTGTGCTGGACACAACTTGCTGGAACCAGCTCCATTGCCTTTAAAACTTTTTGTTGCTGGCGCCCCGTAAACAACAAACAGCTGCTAATTTTGGTTAGCAAAAGGCAGCTGCAGCACCAGGTCACTGATAAAGTTCGGAAAACTGCATTAAAATTGGATAATCGATTGTATAAATATTTGTAGCTGTCAGGTAGTGAGTGAACAGGTAAAGGTGTTGCGTTTGATACTCTTTCCAAATAAATATGGCTTGTTTACGTTGAAGTTTCAGTTAGTTTGGTCACTTACTTTAACACTGACCATATAATTTATGCAAATTAGGCTGGATTACAGTCCCAATTTACATTTCTGCAGCACCACAGTTAAAAGCAAGTTTATTGAACAGTTTTGTAAAACACATATCCTTATAAAGTTCGTAAATACATTTTATTTTAGCATACTAGTTTCTAAATTTCATTGTATTTCTATGTATCTGAGCTGGGATTTATATTTGTTTACACACCATCTTTGCTTTCAACAGGACAGTGAGCAAAGTCACACTCCCACTCCACCAATATGGGGGCTTTAATCTCAAAATGGAGGGTTTGTATTCCATTTTTTTTCCTAATTATATGTGCAATGTGTTGCATGTTATATGAAATTGCTTTCACATGTGCCCCTTTCTGGCACATTTGACCTAATAGGTGAAACGCATCCATCCATCATCTTTACCCGCTTCTTCCTTTTTTCGGGTCGCATGAAACACACATTTGCCATATTCCCATGTCATATGTAGGAAACTAGAAGTGTTCAATGAAGTTGCTACCTGCAAAGCATAGCATCTGTTGTATAAAATATTTTGCTCTAACGTCTCTAATTTTTTCTTACAGGCCAAACCGTCCACCGTGGAGACTTTGGAACGACTTGAAAAAGTAAATTTACCCCAATAAAAACACTGTTCATACATTTAAACTATGTTTGTATTGCATCAAAGTATACACAATTAGTTATTTAGTGTGATATCTGGGGTTTCATTATTTTACAGTAGTAATAAACAAATGCTGAAGTAAGTTGGATAAAATTCAAACATTTTTATGACTATGAATAAAGTAGCTGAATATTCAGATGTTTTAAATTTTTTGAAGCGTTGTAAGAGCGTTGATCTTTAAGTGTAAGCAAAGGCTTCCAAGTTGGCTCATCATTTGGTCAGTGATGGGACTTGGCTGTTGTTTTGCAGCTAAACCAGTGTTGGGCTATTTTCAGCATGAGTTTGGAGCAAAAACAAGTAATTTTGATATCAGAAAGATGTTGAGTGGCATTCAAGTCATGAAACTGGTTTTAGCTTTTTACACAATTCGTCGATCATTAAAAGAGCAGTTTTTATGAGCAACACAAACTGAGAAACTTAAATGTTGTGCTGAATGCGAGTTAAGCTCATTTCTTGCTCAGAGTGACACGCACTCGTGTTCTAGCGGCACCATAGTGACTATGAGTGGATCACATTTCACCCACCAGATATTTTTAGATGGGGTATTCAGCACTCTCAAGCAGTGGGGTACATTTCTGTTTACAAAATCTGAAAATTAATTTTGTTTTTTTACTATTTGCATTTTGCAATAAAACCAGCATTTATCGTCTTGAGTATCTTCTGACCAGATGTTCTCTTTGCATGTTGCTTCTGCTTAATACCTCAGCTGGATTATACTTCTGTGCAGTAAAGTGACCTTTAAAGCTTTAGTGTTGTAGCAGACAATTGGCTTATTTCTCAGAAGTGGAATATCAATCCCTAAAGGAATTTACCTTCATTTGCATCTATGTAAAAACATGTTGCATTGTTGAGAGATGCAGTCGAAGGCAGGGCCAAAGACGCAGAATGAATTACTGTGCTCAGAAAAAATGTAGTTCTAATATATTTGCAATACAATATCTTCAAGTGGCATCAAAGGGGATTTTATTTAAATCATTATACTGCTTTCATGCATTTTAATGCATGCTTGGTGTAAGAGTCTCAGATACTACCACTCAAAATGTATCTGTGTTTGCTAAGTCAGTCATCCTTGTTAGCCATCATGCATTAGGTGGACTGAAACAATCAATAGTTTGGAGATTTGCATCTAATGATTACTTTTTATGGTTTCAGTAAAAACATATGAATATTGTGCTTGAAGACAGAATAACGATTTAATCTGGATGAAAAAGATACATTTTGAAGCTGAACTAGTCACCTGCAGTTTATGAACACCAGTCACCACTCAAACTAGTTCACATTATTGTTTGCACTGTCCACATGACAGTTTTTCATAACCGTTCCGTTTCTCCTGCTTCAGGATAAGTTCTTCCCGAGCTCAGTAGATGTTGTTAAAGAGAATTAAAACTGCATTTGCAAAGTAGAAGCTGCTTTACTGATGCCGTTGTCTGACACAACATGCTTTTCTTTAAATGTATGCAGAACAGGGTAGATTGATCTGTCATGAGTCTTCTAGAACTCCTCTGACTGTTTTGTAGTACTTTTTGAAGCACCACTTTAACATTAAACCAAAAACACCCAGGTCCACTACTGTCGTGGCTGTTGTCATGTGCATAAGTCATGCAGCTGAGCATTGCACAATCACAGTGCAAAATCAAATCAAACACAGAGGCCATTATACTCACTCGATAGTGGGTCATTATAACCCTCAGAAGGTCCTTATTTGGTCCAAATGGCTTCTCCATGATCTAGACCTAAGAGCAGAAATGATACGTCACTACAAGTTTGTTCCTTGTTGTAAAATGCTGCTTGATACCTTTGTAGGATTGTGGTAATGATCTTTTTAGTGTCACTTATCTTAAAAAAAACATTTAACCTTTTGATTTGGTGATGAATCTATCTACCAGTATAGATAATTTGCTAATCTTTGCATAACATGCCAAATTTAGACACTTTATAATACAACAGGGGAAATAACACAAATGTATCATTTTGAAAATTGCATTTGCTTTGAGCAGTTTGAACACTGTTTATTTTAAGAAGTAATATTTAAAGGATGACCATTTTATCCGTGTAATTTTATTTATTTTATATATTTTCAAAGGATATCCAGACTCTTGAAGACTATAGTGTGAGGTATCAAAGACAGCTGAAGATATGGGTCGGACGGCTGCTTCTCTACTCGTCTCTGCTCTACTTGATCACCTGCATAGTTGTGTATTTCTGGTACCTGCCTGAACAGATGATGGGACGGTTCATACTGTCTCTTCCGTTTGTGATTTTTCCATTTTTGTAAGTATACAAGATAATTACTTGCATTTTTTTGGCTAAATTTAAATGCAACAAAACAAACTAACACCTTTTATTTTTATTTTAGAGTGTGGTTACTGCGAAAAATGCTTGTATATATTTTTTCACGAAGAACTGAAAAAAATAGTAAGATCCTATTTGCTTCTGATTCATAAATGAGCTCTTTATTTCTGCTTAGCGGCTCAAACATTGGATTTTTTTTTTGTTTTTGTTTTTAGATGAAACGTTGGAAGATCTGAAAGCACAAAAAAGGGAAATAGTAAGTGATTTCCTGATTTTTCTCAGGTTTCAATGACACTAAAATTGTTTTAAGATGGTTAGCTTTTATTTATCATATAAAGTTTTATTATTTTTAGTAGTGCTCTTGCTAATGTTTTTAGCGTCCTTATAGTAATATATTTAGTGTAAATATATGTTTTTGGATTGGTGCCAACAGGTTGTGAACGGTACAGTGACTTAACCCAGCAAACCACTCTGCTAATGTCACTTTAATTAATAGTGTTTAGTGCAGAAAAGAAATAAATCTGATAAATTGCTTGTCATCCTCTGTCAAGTTCTAATAACTTTCAATAATTAGGGCTGATGAATTTTCACACTCTCCATTATCGAAGTAGTGAATGTAATTATTCTTCATATTATATGTAAATGTAGAAATGTTCAGCGTTTGATTTTTAAATAAAAGCTGTTAGTTTCTTTTGCTTTGCTTATTTTATTAGAGATGATGTGAAGATATCTTATACGTTCTCTGCTCTTTAATTTTACCAAATGATCATCAAATATCTTTTATATCTCAAATAATATAGGATGAATTATTTTATGAAATGTTGTACGAGCTGAGGATTCATCCTCATAATAACCCTTAATGTCTTTTTCCAGCTTGAGGAAGTTATGGAAACGGAGACGTATAAAAATGCCAAAATGATTCTGGAAAGATTTGATCTAGGTTCCAAAAAAAATATTGTAAGTTCCTTTGCTTTTACTCTACAGTGTCATTTTATTTTATCATTTTTGTTGTATGCCTCTCATATTAAGCCATGTTCTTGAAATATGTTGCCTTGTATGTGGAGGAACTTGAATCCACTCCAGTTGGACCCCAGAAATCTCCCACACCTGGACAAGGTAGATGGTTCTGAATAAAGTGCTACCTCTTATCTGGAGTTTTCTACCACTAAGTGTTCCACATTCTTTCTGTTAGAGCTCCGCCAGCGCCATGTCATGCCAAAGAGCCCAGTGGTGATGTTGAATCCTGAAAGCGGTTCTGCTGCCCGTCCGCCTCTTGCCTCTGGGCCCAGCTATCCTGGACGATCTTCCCGTTCTGCTCCCGGCGGACCCCCAGAGAGGAGCCTGTCAGCAGTAGCTGCTCAGCAGAGCTTGATGAGGAAGCCCATGACCCCGAGAACACCTGTTCCAGGAGTCGGTGAGTTACCTGCACACAGGGGGACCGGATCATAATGTGGTCGATTAAGGTGTGATTTACTCTTTCCTGGCTATGTGTCCCCAGTTGCTCAAAGCTCTGTGGTTTGTGTTTTGAGCAAGGTTATGGTATGTAATACAATAGCTGTAAAAGATAACTGCAGGAAGGTAAAATTAAAGTCTTACTAAATAATTCCATATGTTCCAAAACAAAGGTTTTATTGTAAATAAACATCAGAAATTAAAGATCTTAAAAAATGTAATGTTTATAACTAGATGCTTTCCAGCAAAATGCTAAACTCCTTGTTTTTCATAGATGCGCATCCACGGAGTGTAGATTTATTATTCAGTATTGATCCTTTCTGTGCTGCTGCCACTCTGTTGGAAAAAATGCAAATGAGTAAAAACAGCAAAAGAGAGATGTTGTAGAGTAAAGGAAGCTATAGTTTGTAACCTGCCAAGTGGAATGCCAACTGAGGTATGCACAATGCTGGATAACATTAACTATGATTAATTAACCAGATCTGCGTTTCTTCTCTGGTGGTAGGCTCTCTCTAAATGTCTTATAATTCTTGGTGAAATTGCTTTTGGCATTGGGAGCACCTTGCAAATGGTTTACATGACTTTATGGTATCACATTGGGTGTGTTTGAAAATTGAAAGTGAAAAGCAATTTGATACAAAGAATTGCAACAGAGTTTCCATATGTTTGTAAATTAATAAGCAGCAGGACACGGAGACTCTGCCAAGTCTCACAGAAATGACCAGTCATCTTCCTATGATTGCTCTTGATGTTAGATTATATTAATTACTGCTCACCAACACAACAGGGATTCCCAACATGCTTTGCAAGTGAAATGTTTTGTCATTAAGAAAAAGGTTCAGGAGTCTTTGTTAGGTTATTGCACAAATCTCAATAACCTATTTTACAGAGCTGCTGTTAACAGGCATGTAGAATACTAACAGGATGTGTTGTATTTTACAGGCATGCACCCACCAGGCCCACCTCTGGTCAGACCTGTGCTCCCAAGGGAAAGGAGTGCAATGGACAGAGTTATTGAGTATCTTGTTGGAGATGGTCCCCAGAACAGGTGCACAACCTCTGATGTATCTGAACTGTTTTATACAGTATACACACTTTATTGATCCTAAATATGCACAGTCTACATTATTAGTTTTTTGTGGTTACAAGGTGCAGTAGGGGTAAAAATCTGCAATTTCTTAGCTTTTTATTACATACAATAAAATTAAATTATCTATTTGATAGTGTTACAGTGTGCAGAAAAGGGTTTCAGTTGTGCTGCGCATACCATCATTGTATTTATCAATAATTCTGTCTTCACAGTCTAATTTGTTTAACTGTCTTCACCGGCTTGCCTTTTCTCTCAGATACGCTCTCATATGTCAGCAGTGTCTTTCTCATAACGGCATGGCATTAAAAGAAGAATTTGAATACATCGGTAAGTCTCTGAGCATCACAGCTCTCTTTATCAGTCTCTATCAAACGCTGGGCCTGCATTTGCCCTCTAGCATTTGGCAGAGTAGTATATCACATGGCTCTTAAATGCCTCTGCCACCAACTCCTGTAAGCAAAAACAGAACAATATTGAATATGCAAAGTAGTTCTGCACATCAGTCTGAAATGTTTATGCATCTCAGGCAGTTTTTGTCATTGATTCATGTATATTAATCTTTACAGGTTTGCAAACGTATTAAGAGGGTTGTATTAACTAGATGTATGATGTCACGCTTGTGTTGCTTTAGCCTTCCGATGTGCGTATTGTTACTGCTTGAACCCCGCGAGAAAGACCAGGCCCCAGGCGCCCAGACTCCCTGAGGCCAATGAAATGAAGATGCCATCTGAGGTTCCCCTACCTTCATCTCCTAATGTTGGTGAAGACCAGTGTGTTTCAGGTGAGGATTCTAAAGCAGATTTTTTTCAAGAAAGCACATACCTTTTAAAAATTATATTGCATCAGCATTTTTAATATTTCTTGTTGCAATAATCTCTACTTACTGTATTTTCCGCTATACATGTTGCACCGCCCTATAAGTTGCATCAGTCCAAATATGTCTAATAAAGTGGAAACATTCATAAATATGTCGCTTCGCCGTATAAGTCGCATATATTATGCGTCACTTCTGACGCGTCGCGTTTCTTATGCGTCAGCGCTGACAACCCGGAAATGTGGGTCGAACCCACAAATGTGGGCCGGTGTTGTGCCAAAAATCGATTGGCTGCCAAATGGCGGGAGCATGCACGGGAGGACTTTAACAAGAATTTAACAAGATTAACACTTAAAAACAATTATTTGCTCGAAATTATAGTAAAGGTGTGTCTCAGTCTAACTTTTGCTTAAGAAATTCACTTTAATGGTCAAATTAGCTGCATTTTGCCGGGGTGGCGCAGCAAAATAAAGCTGATTTGATGGTGGCTCCATGCGAGCTAGACGAGGGTGGCAGACAATGGCAAGCCGATTGTGTCATTAATAGCCACTTTTACCTATTACATGACACAACGGCATGCCATTCTGCTCTAGTGGCTGAAAATGGTAGTGTTCAATATTCTCAGTCAGAATGAAAGAAACCGGTCATATCTCAGCCAAAAATTGGTTTATAAATATGTGGAAAAAATCCATAAATGTCACTTCAGCGCATAAGTTGCAGGGCATGAAAATTATACAAAAAAGAAAAAAACGTGATTTATAGGGCAAAAAATTTGGTACTTTTTAAAATATATTTGTATTTAAGACTTTTGTGTAATTGGAAGATTTTGTGTAATTATTAGGAAAAACCAAGCTTGCTGATGTCCCACTTGGAACAGATGCGCACGAGTCGGATGCAGTGACAACCACAGAGCCCAGTTCTGCATCAGATTGCCAAAACTCCCCCGAATCACAAAACCTACCCTCAGAGAAATCTGATGAAGAGCAAGATATTTCAGCCATGGAAGTGGACTAAACCAGCAGAATGGGGTTTTAATACAAGTCAAGCTGGAACATTTAGTTTTTCTTGGAGACGAAAACAAAACATCTGGTTAGTTTACAGATGCACATCCTGGGTTACACAAGCACAATCCAGCTGAGTTGTTTTTTTTTCTTGTAAAAATCACTTTTAAACAGCTAGCATTAATGATGAATTGTATGCTAAATTGCGTAACACCAGCCTTACCTGTCAGGATTTTACACCAGAAATGAAGAGCTATAAGGTTTGTCTTGTTTTTGATGTTGAATTTTTGTTTTTTTGTTTTCTTGTCCGTATTTTATTTTTGATGAAGTTTAACTTTGTGTTGTTCTAAATAGACTACAGTTTCCACAAGCATGTTGGAATATTTGATGAAGAATTTTATTTATAAACTATTTATAGCCTTTTTCTCTTACGTTTGAGATTAAAGTGTTTACTTTGGTACGCTGCAGCTAACATGTTTACACAGCCATGGTACGATTAAAGAATGCTCATGCAGTACAGCATCACAAAAAGTAAGGAAATGACATGTTAGTACTGTGTGCCTTTTAAATTTTATGTTTCAAAAAACTTAATAAAATTACATTTTACAAAAATACAATGTAATTTATGTGTTGTGTATAATGCTTAAGAGTGAACTATTCTTGTACTAAAAGAATACTAAATTTTTTTTTACACTTTCTTCGGATTACGTTCCTCGTGTGAATGGCATGGAAACATTCACGTCGCTGTTTGTGTGCCTTTGTATTTGTTACATTTTAAATTGGTGCCCGTTCTCCATCCAGAGGCTCTTTGAACCCCATATTTAAACAGTCCATTTTCATTACCAAGCCAATTTTAGCTTGTGATCATTTTATTTTTGCTCATTGATCATTTCAGACAGTGTAAGATAATGGTGCTGGCAGACTTAAACCAGTCCTGATTGCTTGACCCTCTTGGTTTGCAGTAAGAAAGTCGTTGCGCCTATAAACTTCTCCGTCATGTGACGACACCCCTCCTGTTTCTCCCCAAAGAAGCTCCATAAACTTATCGGTGAGGTCAACATCCCACATCTTCCATGGGTTTTGATAATGTATGTTTACTGAGACATGACCTCCTGGGCCTTGCAATGCATCAATATGACACCCAACAGTAACGCCTGATTCCACCGCATGCTGTTTGAGGTTGACCTCTGACAAGAGTCAAACAGGAGGAAAAAAAAGGGACATCAGTAGGACAAGGTTTAGATATTTTTTTCCACTACCACTGGGAGGTTCAGACATAGCCTTCATCATTATGTGCAATAAAGCACTAAAAATGACTGAATATTTTGAATCCTGCACAGTTTTGAGACTTGCTTGTTTTTTAGTGTTTCACGAAGACTCGTACAGACAGATGATGAGAGCAGTCAAACTTCTTAAAGCATCTTTACCCTTAAAACTATTTCAGTTACTCGTGTGCTGCTATTAATTTTGTTTGGTGGCAAATTGACAATCTATTCAAGCAAAATCACTATTTTGGATAACCACCAAACTAAAGCAGTGTTTTTCTATATTTACCTCCATCTTAACCTTTTACCTGCATATAAAACATGAAACAAATCAAACATTAAGTTCAGGTTTTTGTTGAAGCATTTACAAAATATCCCATCTAGAATGTTATGTTCAAACTAATTGATTTTCAAGGATGATAAATGACTCTCAAAGCTCCTGCTCCAAGGTAATTTTGAGAGAGCTGTAAAAGTATACTGTCCCAAGGTTCATAGTTCTTTTTCATACTCATCTCTCATGTGTGCATCAGAGGCTACTTGACTCAAATTTATACTGATCTTTTATTTATACCCAGAAAAAATGGCAGATAAGAAACATAAGTGTTCTTGATATTGTGTTTTGTCATATCTTGCAACCAAAGATTGAAATCCTGCGAAACAATTTTCTGAAGAAATGAAAGAGCGTGCCCTCCTGAACCCCTGAGGAAAATAAGCCCGCAGTGCGAGGCAGAATATGAAACAGAGGCACAGAATAAGTAAAATAGACAAGTGCACCATGGCTTGTCACTTTTCCATTTGCTTGCCCCCCCGAGTGAGAGCATTTCAAAATTCTCCTCATCTCAGATAAGACCTTCGTTGTTATGCTCTATCTACTGTACTGAGTACAAAAAAAAAAAGTACTGCATCAGACAAAAGGTAATAAGGAAGGGAGTTTGAGAAAAATCACCATGTTTCTGTCAGTCATAAAGTAGAATGCAATGAAAAGAACAACAATGTCATAAATGTGTAGCACAAGCCGTTGTGCACAGAGACAATGCTGGGATGAGTGTCACAGAAGTAGTTAACATGGGTGGGATATTAGACATCACCACTGGCTCTTGACAACAGCATCATTACACAGTAATAAGAGCACAATCTCCTTCAGAGAAGCATTAAAATCAAATTAGATTATACAAGCGCTTGGCTTGATGAGCTGCGAGGGCTGATGGTTCCTGAGCACTGGATCTCTGCTTGAAAAAAACTCTTTAAATGCCTGGGTGTGAATTGCCACATGACAGAGCTTTCCATGAAAAGGTCATCAGTTACCAAGAAATTACTTTTTTTTTAAAAGCTTAAGTCGGTGGAAACCTACACCTAGACGGACAAGTCTCCATTTTTTTTTTCCTCTCAAGACATTGTATCTGTCAAATGTCGTTGTGTGCTGCTGAATACATGATCTATAAAACACTGAGTTGTGGTTTAAACCGGAGTGACATTCAGGGATCAGAGAGCATTGCCATTCTCTGTCCTATCTTGTGCTCATTATACTGCTGAGCTATGGCATCTGTTTAAGCAACTGAAACGCCTCAACAGTTATTACTGCAAACAATCCAAATAAACATGTCCTGCAGTGGGAAAGGACAAACTTTAAGGAAAGATAGCTTGCACTTTGTTTCAACACCAACGTCCCCTACCCTATGGAGACAATATATCAAAGTGAATTATATTATATTGTTTCATACCAAAATATATAAGAATGTATCATATATATATATATGATATATCATATATTGTAGCAAATTTTATCATACTGAATTGTATATTGTACTGTATTGTAGTACACCATTGTATCATTTATAAAATATACCTTAATGTACAATCATATTACATTGTAGTGTATCACATTGTAGTTTTGTATTATAGTATTATTATAAAAAAATTCTGAACAGAATGTAAAATCTTATTTTTATTTATTTTTTATTTAAACCTTTATTTTACCAGAAAAGAAATCCATTGCGATTATTAATCTCTTTTACAAAGATGTCCTGGGTTATTAGCACAAATGCTTTTAACATCCAAACTACATTTAATGATTTGATTTGAATTAGGTTCATTAAACATTGTTTAAAATCACACGCACACGCGCACACACACATATTTTTTTTTTTACTTTAATTTTTTTTTTTTTTTCCAAACACAGCACTTTGCTCACATGTGTGCAGGTTTATTTGTCATTCCTAGAGTTTCAAAAAGTAGGCACAACTTTCAGTTGTCAGGCTCCTTTCTTGTGGAACAAATTTCCACGTCTGTCTGTGAGAGTGACACTCCTCTTTTTTAAGATTTTGATTTTTGATAAACCTATCCAGGGTGTACCCCGCCTCTCGCATAGTGACTGCTGGATATGGGCATCATGGGACTCCCACAACTCGGAAAGGAAGAAGGTAAAGATGGATGGATGGATGGATGGATGGATGGATTTTTGATCAGCCCTGTAGTATAGATTTGGCTTGGGTTTCCTGAGCTATCCTTTAGTTATGCTGTCATGCTGGTGGGCAAACTCCCTCACTCTGCTACTGTCTTTACTCTCTTTTTGTATTTTACAATTATTGATGTCATTAACCCGTGTTTTGCTTTGTTTTTCTTCCCATAGAAACAACACTTTGACCAGTCCTTCTGTGTTTATCTGTGCCTATTTCCTGTCCTCTCATCTAACAGCCAGTCAAGGCAGATGACCATCCATGAAGCTGGTTCTGCTGAGTGTCTTCCTGTTAAAAGGAAGGCATTCCTTTCCACTGATGTGAGATGAAGATCTGACACAATCAACTGTCTTTCTTAGATAGCTAACTTTTTTACTACTTGGTATTTCATAATGTTATGTACATGACTGTATTGTATTACAATAGGATTTAATTTAATATAAATGTATTTTAATTTAGAGAAGAACAAGATTTATGATTTGGAATTGTTTTTAGTGCCATGAGAAGACGTTTGTTGTGAATTGGTGCTTTAAAAATAAACAGAACTGAATGAATTATTCTATTGTATGGTATCATATTGTGTATTATCAAATTGTATGGTACTGTATAGTATTGCATCATAATGTATTGCATTGTTTTATAGTGTATTGTATGATTTTAATGTATTATACACTGCCTGGCCAAAAAAAAAGTCACCACCTGGATTTAACTAAGCAAATGGGTATGAGCCTCCTATTGGATAATTACTGCATGGGTGATTATCTTTCAGCTGACATCAAGTTATTTAACCCCAACTGGTGCAATGAATTGCTTCTCATTTCTTAAACAACCATGTTGAAAGACACATCGCGTGGTCGTGGAAAAGATGTCAGTCTGTTTGAGAAGGGTCAAATCATTGGCATCAAGCAGAGAAAACATCTAAGGAGATTGCAGAAACTACTAAAATTGGGTTAAGAACTGTCCAACACATTATTAAAATCTGGAAGGATGGTGGGGACCCATCGTCTTTGAGGAAGAAATGTGGCCGGAAAAAAATCCTGAATGATCATGATCAGCGATCACTTAAATGTTTGATGAAATCAAATTGAAGACAAACAACAGTAGCACTCAGGGCCATGTTTAATAGTAAAAGTAAGAGCATTTCCACACACACAATGTGAAGGGAACTCAAGGGATTGGGACTGAACAGCTGTGTAGCCTTAAGAAAACCACTAATCAGTGAGGCTAATCAAAAAAAAAAAAAAAGGCATCAATTCGCTAGGGAGCATAAAGATTGGACTCTGGAGCAATGGAAGAAGGTCATGTGGTCTGATGAGTCCAGATTTACCCTCTTCCAGAATGATGGGTGCATCGGGGTAAGAAGAGAGGCAGGTGAAGTGATGCACCCATCATGCCTATAGTGCCTAGTCATCAATGCAAGATCTCGGTGAAAATGAATGCAGCACTGGATGGAAATAGATCTTGTGACATTGCAGAAGCTTATCGAAACAATGCCACAGTGAATGCTGATGTAATCAAAGCTAA